CACCGTGGAATGCATCACAGGACCCTCACAGGAGGGGCTGTGTGAAGAGCAGTTCTACCTCGACATCACAGGCAGAGATCCTACGGACAATCCCTTGGGCATTCCCTTTACCCTGATTGCTGAGTCCTGCCTCCCAGGTACACTACTGTCYACRGGTTCCCATGGTCAGACCTGCTGCTGATCAGCACCTAAACATGCTGCTTGGATAGAGAGGCCTTGGTGTCCCACTTTAAAATCCACAGAGGTTCCAGCCCTCTTCAACTCCACCAGTGGCCTCATCTCGCCTAGGCTGGGAGGGATACATGGAAGGATAGAAGGAAAGCAATGCTCTTTAGGACTGAGGTTGACTGAGCTCCATCCTCACAGCCAGCTCCCCCACCCAAGGCTGGATGTAGCAGTCACCCAGGCAGAAAGGGCTTATCAAGCCTTCTGAGAGGCCAACAGGGTCCAGATGCATTCATCAGGGAGGCTTCTGCATGCTCATCTCTCTGGTCTGTCCACAGGATTTGTTGAGGATGTCWTGGCAATCTTTGAGGAGTACCCGATCTGCAGCAGCACCACCGACCTCAGCCACCTGCTGCAGTCAGTGAGAGGCAAGGGTCTGTTTGTCAGAGATGAGAACAAATTCATCTTCATCAAGGTTCTGGTCGGGAAAGAGGCCAAAGCTAATTTCAAGATCTACAATGCAAGCAGTATCCCATGTGACGTGGCCCTCGCCATCAAGCCCGCGCCTGGACTGGTAAGAACAGGAGGCCAAGGTGACGGTTGCCCTCTAAAAGCTGTGTGAGAGCCTGCTTTGTTCTCCAGATGCATTGCTTCCTCTGGCCCAGGCTAGTCTAGCTCAGTGCAGGTCAAACTGCAGGGGAGAGCAGCAGAGCCAGGCAACAGTTGTGATGAATTCTGCATGTCTTGGGCAAGGTTTTGGCTCACAGCTTGGGGTCTTTGGTGGGAGAAGTGAACCTTCTGAACCTCTCTTGGAAGCACACTCAGAGAAGGGCTGTTATGAACTGACTTGCCAGGGCTCAAAGCAGAGCATTTSCTCAGGCTCCCTGGCTTTTCCTTCTCTTTAAAGGCCMGTTCTTGGTTATTTGCTGGGYTTTCCATGCAGTGCCCACCTCCCATATCTGCTGGGGCACTCAAAAGACTCAGTGCTTTAGCACCAGGTCAGCATTCCCTGGGAGGAAGGGAGCCTGCCCAGGGAGGCAGGAAGGAAGACACGCTGTCTGGGGCTGTACTCAGTGATGCATTTATGAATAAGAYTGTGTCACAKTGAAAGGTGTTTTCTCCTAACACTSCTCTGTGGGTTTCCCCAAGGGTAAAGGCCTTACCAACAAAATTTTCAAATTGGATCCAGTCAAGATGTCCATTGCTGGCTCATCCTGTGCTGTTGCTACGGTGACCTTYGCCCCAGAAATGGAGCAGGACTATGACTGCATTTTCCAGGCTTCCCTCATCATCCCAAAAAGGTAACTGACCCTGTGAAGCATCAGGGGAGGCTCTTCTGATAGCTGCCTCTTCTCTGCGAAGGCACAGACCTCTTGTTAACTCTAATGCTTTCAATGCCCTTAAGCAGAGCACTTGGCATAAGATGGTCTGGGAGGCAGCAACTGTTAGATAGAGCAGAGCAGAAAAATGAGGCTGATAGTTTAGCCTGTATGAGAAACTGTGARGACAGGACAACATTAGGTAGCCAGCTGGAAGTTACTGAGAAGTGCTACAGCTAAGCTGGGGCTTTCCAAGGACAAAGGCTTAAATGAAGCAGTTTCTGTGGCAGCAGTCACAATTTCGTCCTTGTTTCTGTAAAATTAATATCCTCTGTTATTCCCTGGCATTTATTAAGCTAATTTATATTAAGGGAGTGATTGGAGCTGGTATGAAAGAGAAGTCCAGTTCTTCCACCCTGGGACCTTTGTACTGGGGCTCTGACCTGCCCTTCCTCAACACTTTAGTGGCTGAATTGGAAAAAAAGAAGTCTAATTGCTAATAAGTGATTGGTTTTTTACTATTCCTGGAAATAATCTTTACTGATGGTGATGTTGATTTATTTTTCCATTCTTGCTTTTGTACTGCTTTTATGCTGTGCTTTTGCTTGTTGCATGTGTCTCATCTCATTTCAGCCAGGGGATTGCCTTACCTCATCTCATTATTTATATGCTATACTGTATGATTCAATTAAGTGAAATTATTTTTAACTGTCATTCTGAAAGRCMCYGGCTCTTTGGAGCAGATTCCTCTTGTGAATGGCCCTGAGTGAACTGGGAGGAGGCTGGTGGGGGGCTGTCTTGTGGGGTACAGGAGCACCAGGCAGCGAAAGCACTGTGGGTAGCCCTTGCTGCTTTGCTTGCCCAGTGAGAAATGCCTGAGTTCCAGCTGAAATTGTTTTCTGTGCCTCTCCWGCAGCCCCATGAAAATTAGACCCCAAACCCTGACCTTCACCATCAGTGGGAGGGGGTACGACCCACAGGTGACAGTCATCGAGCCAAGTGCTCGCAGCGTGAGGGGGAACGCCGTGCTGCGCTTCAAGAGGCTCCAGCTGGGCAAGTCAGAGACACTCCCCCTGCTTGTCCAGAACAAGGGCATCATATCTGTCCAGGTGAGGACCTGCTCCAGAAATGGTCTGGTTTGGGAACAAGTGCTTGTGCTGCAGGGGAAGGGTCCCAAAAAACATGGCAGACCTGGGAAGAGGTGTCAGAAATTCTTTTTTAGCAAGTGACTTCTGTTCTYCAAGAAGGGAGTCCTTGGAAATTTTCTGTCCAGTCTTTCTTTAGTTGAACACAAGAAAGGTGATGGAGTTTTTCCCCCTCTGTCTCTCAGCTCACCTTTTGTTCTCTTGGACATGTGTGATCTTCCATTAGATTGTATTTGATYCCAGTTTATTACATTTTAAGTAAACTTAGYTGAGGTTTAATTACATTCTRMTCATTACTGTCTGTCCTGTTTGGATCTATGTCAGTTCTATCCAAATGCCTCTGAACATCCTTTTTTTCTGGCTGATTTGACTTACCTTTTGTACTAAGTGTTGGGGAGAGGTGCTGGGTTCCCATGCTGGACCTGCAGCACTGTGGTGTCAAAGCACATGCCATCCTGTACTCACACCGCTGTTGCTGTACTCTGTGTTCCCTTTTCTCAGTTTATGTTACACCTGGAGGATGAGCAGGGAGTGTTCTCCTTAAAAAGCAGGCAATCCACACTCGATAGATTGTACACTGAAAATGTGGAAGAGGACTCCAGTGAAAATGGTAAATTCATTAACTTCCTGGGCAGGAAGTGTGATCATGCCCAGAGGGAAACTGCATGCCCTGCTCTTGKCTTGTCTGAGCAGCAGCCAGATGTTAGATACTGTTTCTTTGGGCTCTCTTCCCCCAAGCTTTTCTTGGGGACTCTTTGCAGGGTTTCCTCCTATCAAGTTGTAGGAAGTTCTTCTGTTCTTCTRGACATGGTGGGTTGAGTTGTGAGGGACTATCACCACCTCAGTGGACCCTCTGAGGTCTCCTCTGCATGTGGGAAGGTACCGGCCTGAACAGAGGCAGCCCTTGGAGCACACAGGCAGCCAGCAGAAGCAAAAGCACTCCTTGGCTCAGCTTTCCATATGGCTGGAGCTGGCTGGAAGCAGATGGAATGAGGGCTGGCCATTAACCTGAGGTTAAGCTGCTTAAGTGGCGATGTGTCTGGAKGTGGCACTCTTATGGACATAGGAAGAGGGTCTGGTGCTTAGAGGCAGCTGGTTTCAACCTCTTATTCCTCATATACCCCATGGAAATATTTCTCCTGTACAGCTGTATAATTTAACTCTGATTTGCATTGCTGTGCAGAGAGCAAGACCCCAAAGAAGCCTTTCCTGCTTCTGCAATGTGGGGAAACAGCAGCGTTCGATGTCACTTTCAAACCCACCCTGGCTCAGCRTCTGGAAGGGAAGATTCGTGTGTTAGTGGGAGATGTCTACTCCAACAAGACTGAAATAGAGCTGGTGGGTGAAGGCCACAAGGACAGTGTGACCTTCGAAGATATRGAGGAAGACGTAGAGGAGAGAACTGCTGAGATCAGTCTGAAGGAAGACATAATTGCTGGTAAGAGAGGAGAGGCTGCCAAGGTGGAGCAAGGAAGAGGAGACTGTGTGATCATGTGTGTCCTCTCTCTAACCAGGCCTGGGCTGTCAGCCAGTGGACCTGGTGCCCTGTGGGTGTGGCAGCCGTGCATGCAGAGCAGTGTGTGCTGTGCTGCTTGTCGCTGGCTTAGGGATGTTTCAGAGTGTTTCCCTGGAAGTGGTGGGATGGGAAACTGCCTGGGGAACACCCTCTCAAAGGGAGGAAGGCTTGGAGCAAGGAAGGCTGCAGGTGTCTGCGCACCACAGGGGCAGGTGGACCTCCCTGCACGCTGAAATCCCTTGTTCTTCTCCTTAACAGCTTTCAGAGTGAATCACATCGAGTTTGGGGACTGTCCTGTTGGGAAGCGCTGCTACAGGACCTTCACCATGATCAACCACAGCACCACGAAGGTCATGCGCTTTGAGTGGGAGACAGACGCCCCATTCGAGTTCTCCCCCAGGGTAAGCATGGACTGCTCTGCCTTTCCCCATTGCTAAAGCCCTTCCCTGGTGCTCCCAGGAGCTGGTGGGGAGTCCTCACATGCCACTGATAGCCCACTTCAGTGCCATGTGGAAGGTGTAATCCCTGGCTGCCAGCCTTGCAGAAAAGGCTCCATGGTATAGGAGGTGGCACCTTCTGCTCATGCTTTATCAAACTTCACATAAATCCACACTAAGGTGCAGATTCCTGGCACAGCTGATCACCACATCAGTCCCTTTTGCTGTCAGTCCTGCCCTTGGCAGTGCTTCCAATTTGGTCTTGATTCTCTGATTCTCCCTAGGTGGGACACATCCATCCTGGGTGTGACAAGGTCATCACYGTGATCTTGAAATCAGACGTCCCAGCTACCTTCAGCAGGCAGCTTGCGACATGTCAGGTGGACAGGATCCAGTACGACGAGCCCCGAAGGAAGGTTCCAGACTGGGATGACACAATGCACCTTGTCACATGGGTGGACACTGCCAGCAAGGAACCAGAAGCCCCCTGGCCTGTAAAGGACATGGTAAGAAGCAAAACAGCAAAAAAAGCCAACCCAATTTTACAAAAGGAACCACCCTAACACCGTCACTGCTGGCTGAGCAGCTCCTGCTTCCTCTGACATTGGCTCCAGCCATGAGGTTCACCAGCAGTGCATTCTAGGGGAGASATGKATGCACAGTGACCAGATACACTYACACAAGAGGGGGAAGCCTTTTTACAAGAGACCTTTAGCCACAGACAAACTATCAGTTTATG